GCTGCTTTCCATTTAAGAAGAAATGAGGTATTTACATTCCTGATCCACTACTTGTATTTTGATTAAAAAAAACAAAACAAACAAACAAACAAACAAAAAACCCTGCTTTTCATGGACTTTCTTAATAGCCAGGTTGGATGGGGCCTCTGAGCCACCTGGACTGGTGGAAGTTGTCCCTGACCACAGCAGGGGGTTCAAAAGAGATGAGCTTTAATTTAAGGTCCCTTCCAACCCAAACCAGTCTCATGTTTCATGGCTTAGAAATTCAAAATTCAGAATGGTGCCTCTAACAAAGCACTGAAATATCAGAGTGACTAAGAACAACTTTGCTTTCTGCAGCTCTAGAAGAGGAATAGTCTGTGTCAAAATTACATTCAAAAAGAAAAGAGAACCATCTTGCTCTGAAGTGAAAGAAGAGGACTCTCAAGTTGCACACAAACCAGACAGTCCCACACAAACAAAATGGTAAAAAACTACTTAAACATATTTTTAAAAATTATTGACACCATTCCTTCCTTCAGATCAGCCATGAGTCAAATTAGGTAGTAAACTTTGAGTAAAAACTTCATTTTGAACATAACTGACATGCCTGTACATGAGCTTTGCTTTTCTGAACAGACTGAAGCCAATAAATACATTGTTAATATTGAAGTGCAAAGGTATCAAGATGGAGAAAACACCTCTTCCTACACCAAAAACTGCTTTACAGCTCTCAGACTTTATCTGCAGCTCTCCAAAGGCCCCAAGTATCTCTCCCCTGTACATTGCCAAGTGCAGCATCTGTCCTCCTGGTACTCTATTTTCAGACTAAATCCTCCTTCTTATCTCCTGTGCCACTTCCCAACCCTTCCCACCAACACCAGAGACCCACAGGAAGCGTCTCCCTTTTCCCAGGACTGCAGCTGAAGGAGGGAGGCAGTTTTGGCTCAGCCAGCCAAAGTCCCTGGGCTCCCCACAGCCTGCCCCAAACCTGTGAGCCAGAGCAGAACTGCTCTGAACCTCCACAGCTCCCAGCACAGCAGGCTGCAAATCCCAGCCCCTGCACTCCAAAGCCACACTGGACCAGGAAGAGCTTGGAAGCTGCTTCATGAAAACCCCCAAAGCTCCTGAAGCACTGACAGGGAGAATTATTGGAGCAGCAATCTTGTCTGACCACAGCCTGTGACAAAGCAGCAAGTCAAGTGGGGTCTTGAAAACTCAGCAGCCTCCAAGGCTGAGGGACTCTTGACATCCACTCCTTCCAGGGGATTTTGTTTCCCCAGTTCATTGTCTGAGTCAAAGATTATTCCCCACCCATGAAATCATGTTTTGCTGACTTAAGTAGAAATCCAGATCTACCCAGAAGCCTCCACAGTGGCATTTTACACGCAGATCTTGTAAAAACAGAGATGTTTCCTCACTCAGGCTACAGCCCTCGGTGACCCAAAACCTCTGACTAGGACCAGACCGCTCTCTTAAAGCAACACCCCAGAAAGGCATCTGGAACTCAGCTCATCATGGCATATTCAACAACCACCACCAAACCAGTCTGAGCAAAATCATGTTTATTCCAAATCTTCAAAGGACCTCCTAAACCCTTTGGGAATTCCTCCTGAGTGCCCTTCCAGTGAACTACCCCCAGTTCCCGACCTACAGCTGAAGGATATGGCCTTAAAATTAATGTTGGCCGCTCCAAAGCAGGGTAGGCAGAAAAGTCCAGTTTTACATGAGGTTGAAGAATCAACAGTTCACAGGCATTTACAGTAACCAAAATACACAAGGAGCTGCCACTCCAGCAAGATATGAGACCAATTCAGAGCATCAGTGACTCAAATGATGCATAAGAAATGCTCATACCCCTAGAAAAGCTCAAGATTTGGGAAAGTTCAGCTATGAAACACAAGGAAGAGTGAGAACTCCAAGCCAAGGTAAAAGTAATGAGAAAACAAATAAAATACATGCTGTAGGTGGCTGCACCTTCACAGAACCAGCACTTTGTGCTGGATGAAAACCAAGCCTCAAACATGAGCAGAGATCTCAAGGACTCAGATTCACTGACAGGTTAAGGAGAAAGGTCCAAGTGGACAAAGTCATAACAACAGATTTACCCATTCTCGGGGGTTAAAATATATATAGGGAGAGAATATATATATTCAAAAGGATTTGCAGCTTCTCTAGGAAAGAATGTTTTTAACATATTCTTGTTACACTCAAACCTCATGGCAAGCAACAGAACAGGTGATGTTAAAAGTGGAGCAAGAAATTATTTCACCTCCAAAGCAAAACTGGGATCACTACAGTTTACACACAACCATCCTTCCCAGCAGTTCTTACACGAGTCCTGCTGCCTTTACATCTCCTGTGCTGTCATGAACAGAGCACAGAAAGACAGGACCAGGCACTGATATGTTTTTACAAGCCACTGATCCTCCACGTTCTCCATTTGTGTTCATCTCCCCCAGCACAGTAACGAGACTCAGAGCCCCAGATCAGGTCACTTGGCAGACGTGGGAGATGGTAGAAGTTCCAGAAGCTCCTGGCCATCCCTACTTGGATGTCACATGAAACTTGGTGGTGGAATGAGCATCCCTGCCCAGGTCACCAGCCAGCTTTAGTCAGCCTCCCTGTTCCTCCAGCAGAGTCACCCTGGAGCAGCAGATTACAGACAGATGACTGGGCCCACTGGCCAATTCCCTCAACTGGTTGTTTCCTTTCTAGGGATTGAAAGGAAACCTGTGTCTACTTCAGTTGACATTCTTTCACCTGCCACTTCCCAGAAAGGCAACACTGCATTCCGCCTTTTGGCAAATTTAAATCAGGTTCACCACCCTCCACTTCAACTGCCCGAGACCAACACCAAAATGTGAGATTTCAGTTTGGTTTTTATGGGAGTACTGTGTGGAAATCAAACCACACCTTTAACCAGCTCGTGTCACGGCCAAACCACCAGAACTGACTTCAGCTCAGTTAACTTTGGCTCTTTTCCTTACACCAGGCAAACAGCAGCAGGAATTGCAGGCAATGGCTCTGGGCTGTGCCAGCTGCTGCAGCAATGGCAGTGCCACATTCCTGGAGTTTAGGGATCCCTGACACAACTGCACTAAAAACCCCACCAGCTGGAGTTCTTGAGGAAGTTTGTCCATGGCCTGTGGATCTGTGCAGCACTCAGCCTTTACTCCAACACCTCTCACCACATTGCTCTTCCTCCACCTCCAAAAAAGAAACTGAGCTTTAATTTCAGACAAGAGCCATTATTCCAGCTGCCCTGAACTTGGTAACAGCAGCATCCCCAGCAATGTCCCTGGAATTCAGGCTTCCAATAAAGGCCAACAAATCCATGAGCTCCTCAATCCCAACCAACTCCCTCCAGCCTGGGGGCAGGGAGGTCAGATGCACTAATCCTCCTCTGTGGCAGCAGCATCACAAGGCCAAGGAACCAAGTTTCAGAGTCTGCCTCAACAGGGAAAGAATGAAAGCAGGGAGCACCTTTTGGGAAGTGCTGGGGGAAGAGAAAAAAGGTAAATCACCTGCAGAGTACCACAAACTCCACATATATGATCAGCCAGCCCTTCACAAAGGGAGGTTTGTCAGCCCCCCAGAGGAAGACAGTCCTGGATCCCCTGTGTGTGTCCAGTGACAGGTTCTCACACCCCCCAGAGGCATTTCTGGCTGTGTTTACTCTGTTCAGCCCTTGGACTAGAGCTTGCTGTGACATTTAAGGCCCTCAGCTTGTAACCTTCACAATGAAATAGGGCTATAACAGTTGTAATGAACTTCATAACAGCCATCATTAGCATTGATACATAGACTGAAAACTTTTGACCTATCAACCTTGTTTACTTTTAGTTTTCAATCTAGTCCCTACTCATTATCCAATTAGTTTCCTAATGCAGGAATCATTCCAGAAGTATTTTTCACTGAGCCTTGCTGTAAACACCTTGGTGTAAGGCCTTGGAAGGGCAAAAACCAAAAACCCACAGAGGAAGCTGACAAAGAAGAACAAATATAAAACCAAGGATTTTGAAGTTCCATATAATTTTTAGTAAGTCCAAACAGTACCAAGCAAAAAATTAAATGATGCCTCCATTAATACCTTGATGGAGGGGAAAAATGAGCCAACTAGCAGGACTAAGTAAAATGGATTTAAGCTTCAGGACAAGTGTTTTTAAAGTGAACCACGCACTTAAGCAGATGTTCCAGTTTCTTTTAGGAGAGAAAGTCTCCTTGTAGATTTTCATGACTCCCTGACCCAACAAATCACTGTGCCATCAGTTTGCCAAGAGACCAGGAGCTGCTCTGAACTGCACAGGAAAGACCTGGGATGGTGTCCAAGGGAGGAGCAGGGTCAGACAGCACCAACAGTGCTCTGATTCCCAACTCTAGGGCAGGATGGTGATAAGCCAGATGTTCAGCTAGTGCTTCAAAACCACTGGGAAAAAAAAAAAAAGCTTTATCTTATTGGTTTATTTTAAGCACTCCAACACATTCTTTCCTGGCCACTGTGTTGATATTCAGTTCCAGAAAGACATTTTGCACGCCCGGCACTCTCCAACTTCGGCTTTTAAGTAACAGCAGGGCCTCTTACTGCCACTTTTAACATGCAGCAAGTTAAAACACGACATGTGCTCATTCACAGGAGCAACTGAACACAGCAGCTCAGCAAAGTGAGGGTTTGCCATCTCCCTCAGCTCACACAAACTTGCCACTGCTCACTGGCTCAGCTCAGCACGTGAGACAAGTGCTCCAAGGAGCAGCACAAGCAGAGCCCCTGGAGCTGCCATTTCACATCCTGTTGTTAGAAGACACTCACAGAATTATATCACTTGTTTTATGACAGAGTTCTTGACCCGTACACAGCATGGGAAAAGGCTCTGGACTAATGTAAATGGCAGGGACACAAGTATTTAGGCTGTCAAATCACAGGTATGACCCATCCCCTCTGTCTCACCCAGTAAAGGGATGGGAACCAGGACAGTTCAGCTGAATTAGCACCCAGAATGACTCTACTAATTAGTACTTACATAGATGAGCCCAGAGTAATAGCGATCCTTTAAATTGTGCAATACAGAGGCTTCATTTAAACAGGTTAATTCTGCCATGTCTTCCACTTTGGAGAACTTGGGAGGATTCATCTTCTGAACGTCATCTTTATTGACTAGTGCCTTCTTCCCATTCTCTGCCAGTTCCACCAACACCTCATCCCCCTTCTCCTCCTTGATGCTGGCTGCCTCGAAGCCATGGCGCTCCGAGGGGATCCACACCAACTTTTTGGCAGTCCAGTCGGCCTGGGTGGCAGGGTTGTAGATCACAGCCCTGTCCACAAAGAGGTACCTCTCTGGATCCTCCTGTCCCAACCTCTGTGCCATGGTGGGAAGCGAAGGTGTCCTCTCTCAGTTACCCTGTGATGGGAGAGGGAAAAGCAAAGAGCACGTTACAAACCATGCACAGCAGTCAAATGATCCATCACCAATATCTGCACCTTCCCTGGAAAAAGCAACATCAATTATCTCTCCCAGAGTCTGGAGAAGCCCCTGTTCACACAGCATAAACCAACTGCCAGACAAAACTTAAATGACCTGTCAAGTATCACCCAAACCCAGTGCAGGAAAGCCATGAACTGGTTCTAACTGTGCACCAGCACGTGCCAGAGCTGCAAGCAGGAAAATCACACCCCTGTGCCCTGGGCTGAGATAAGGAAGAAGAGCAAATTGAGCAGAATTTTGTCAGTAAAAATTTTAACAGCTGCAACGGAACAGTGAAAAAAAAAAAAAACACAGAGACAGATACAAAGCCATAAATCTGCTCAGTGGGTGGCTGGCTGCAGAAACCAGAATGTGGTTTAAAATGTGGATTCTCAACTACAGACAAGAACTTGGGACACTTGGAGCTTCTGCAAGACATTAGGGCAGCTAAACCTTGATCATATTCATCCTGAAAAACACGAGACTCTGCATTTCCACAGCCTGCTCCTGTTCTCAGTCCTGAGCGCTGACATCACCATATTCCAAAAAAAATGTCTCCAGATCTCAAGTTTACCTTGAGGCTCAACACACTGCAAGGGCTGATGCTGGATTTTCCAACAGCTCCAGGGTAATTTGAAGGGGAAAGAAAAACTGCTGACTGACAAGAGCCCCTGCACACTCATTTTACCTGCCTCTATCCAAGAGAGGGTCCTGCCCCTTCCCTGGGCTCTGCTGTCACAACCAGGATTCTCAGAGCTGGAGGGTTCACCTGGAACTCCTTGAGGAGCAGAAAGGTCAAGCCTGAACCCTCAGACTTAGGCTATTAAACATCTTGGTTGGTAACACGGTAAATATCTTGGTTTGTCACACACACACACACACACACGACATCTCTTCTGCTGAAGAATGTTACATCAGCCTTTTCCAGCAGGTAACCTAAAGGTCAGCTTGGGAAGAAAGCCAGGGAGGTTTCCCACATGGCATTTGTCACCTTTTCCTACTGTGGCACGCGCCCTGATGGGAGTTCTGCAACCCAATCCTCCTTGGAAGGGCATGTAATTAAAGAGGGTAATTGTGTCTCCATCTACGGCAGAGAGATTTGTTACATTGTCCAACTTCGACGTGAAGTCACCCAACCCTTCCGAGGTGCGAGGAGCAGCCCGGTTACCACAGACGGCTTAATTCAAATCAAGATGCGATGACTCAACATTAAAAGTATTTCAGAAGAGCCTCTGAGAGAAAATTACCACGAAGAAAGAAGGAATAACGTTGAGGGGACATGTTAAGCCATAGCTGGACTCCTCCACCGTGGAAATAAAGATATTAGTCGAGGAAGGCTACACCTGGCTCAAGGAGCCCATAGATTTAACAGCTGAGCCTCCAACCCCAAAAGAGAAAGGCGACTGTGCCAGAGCACAGCCCAAGTTCCAACAAAGCCCTGGAACGCCGGTGCCACCCTGGTGTGCCAAAGCACCTCCGTGTCGGGTCCCGAGCGCTCCCGGCCAGGTGTGACACAGCCAAAGGCAGCCAAGGTAGGCTCAGACTAGCTTTTTACACACCGAGAGGCAGCGAAACCTGAAGGTCAAATAAAGCTCACACGACCAAATCAATCATTACCGTTCCCCCGGCGGAATTAAAGGCTGAGGAGTGAGATGAATGTGCTCATACATAACTGCAGGCACCCGTCACGTATGAACGGGGTAACTGGCTTTATCCCAGTCCCTGAGGGACAGACCTAAAACATCGGGGGATCACAGGCGGCCCCAGGGTCATTCTCGCCCCCGGGATCCCAAACCCCCCAAGCCCATCCCAAAATCCCCTCCGCAGGAGCCGAGCGAGCCCCAGCTCACCCTGCCCAGGGCTGCTCCGCTAACAATGGCATTCAAATGAAACACACAAATGAGCGCATTTCTCATGCAGGAATCCAGCACTCCCCGCAGCCGACGTGCGAATAAGGGGGAAAAACACCCAAAAAAAAAACCCGACACAAAGCGGGGGGGAAAGGGAGGCACATCGGGGCCGGGGCGCCCCCAGGGCAGGGCCGGCCCGAGGAGCCTCGCCGGGCCCGAAGGACAAAGAGGCGGCGGCGGGCTCGGCCCGGCGGGGCCCTGCGCGGCCGCATCCCCGCGCCCCCCGCCCCGCGCCCGCGGCGGAGAAAGCAGAAAATGGCCGCGAACCGCCCCCTCCCCTCGGCGGCAGCGCCGGCCGGGCGGGCGGCCCCACAAGGGGGTCTTTGTGTGGCGGGCCCGCCGCCCCCGCCACACCCCCGCCGCGGGCGGGCCCCTCCGAGCGCTCTCCCCCCCACCCCGACTCGCCGGTTCCCAGCGCCGCGGAGCCCCCGGTCGGCCCCGCCGCCTCACCTGTGCAGCGCCGGCCGCCGCCCGCCCGCCCTCCCGCCGGCTCCGCCGCGCCCGCTCCGCCCCGCGCCCGCCGCGCTCCTTTAGCGCCGCGCCGGCACCGCCGCCCCTGCGCGCCGGGCCCGCCCCCCGCGCCGCGCGCCGCGCGCCCATTGGCCCGCGGGCCCGCCCGTCAGCCCCTCTGCTCGCTCCCATTGGTCCGCGGCGCGGCCGCTCTGCGGCCACAGCCATAGCAACCTCCGCACGCCGCGCCGCGGGGCCCGCCCCTCCCGCGCCTCGCCCCGCCCCCTCTCGCCTCCCGTTGGCCGCCGTCACCCCCGCAGCGCCGCGCTCATTGGGCGCCCGCCGCGTCCGTCGGGGCGCGGGCTCCGCCCCCCGCTGCAGCACGGGCGGGGCGGGGCGGGGGCGCGCGCACGGCGCTGCGGCGCGGGGCGGCGGGAGCGCGCCCGCCCCCCCCATCCCCTCACACACACACGGGCAGAGCCGCCCCCGCCCCGCGCGGCCCCGGGCACAGGGACGGGGACACGGGCGGGCAGAAGGGTCCCTAGCCCGGCCCCGCTCGCTCGCAGCACCCCGGGAGCGCTCCCGCCTCGCTCCCCGCACGGTCACGCACACGCGGGGTCCCGCCCGAGCGGCCCCGCGCGGCCCCTCCTGCCCCGGCCCGCCCGCCGCAGCCGCTGCTCTTCCCCACCTCAGACATCACCCCCAGGGGTTTGGGGCTCTCGGCCCTTTGCCCGGCACCTTCTCTGGGCCGGGTGGGGAGGCAGGAGGTGCAGCACCGGGAGAGGGGCCATTTGCTGCCCCTCTGAGGGTCTCACGGGCTCGCTGGGGCCGGGTGGGTTTCGGGGGTCGCAGCTCGGGGGCTGCGGGACCAGGAGCTCCAGCCCTGCTGCAGCGGGGGAGGTTGGGATGGAGACTCGAGCAACGTGATGGCCTCGCCCGGCCTTTTCCAAAGCCTTTCCTGTGGTTCCTCCCTGCCTGAGCTTCCCGGGGACCACACGTGGTGCGTTCAGCCTGCCGGGAGCGGGCACAGCCCCTCCTCGCATCCACGGCCGGCGAGAGCTCGGGGGTTCCCATCCCAGACCTCGAGGATTCCCATCCCAGAGCTCAAGTGTTCCCATCGCAGACCTCGAGGATTCCCATCCCAGAGTTCGGGGGTTCCCATCCCGGAGCTGCCGGCGCTGCCTTTCCCTGCCCGGCCCGAACACGCACGGGTGGCTCAGGAATTAGAGCTGTTTTGGTGGAAGGAACTTTTGTGAGATCGCTGTGACTGGGAGCGGGGTGAGGAGCAGAGGGAAGCGGCAGGAGGGAGCATCAAACCTGTCCTGGGGCAAACCTGGAGTGGGAGATGCTGGAAAGGGCTGGGGACAGGAGTAAAGGATGCATCCCATTTTTCCTGTGCTTAGGAAGCAGGGCTTTCTCTGGATTACCTGCACAAACAAGTCTTTCAAAGCAGTACCTGCCATTCCAATGCAACTTGGCCCTTTTGGACGGGTTGCTCGGTTCAAAAGGAGACAAACCGTGGGGAGCCAGGCTCCTGGCAGGGAGCTGGGAATCACTGGGTCATCTCCGCTCATCCTGCACACAAATCAGTTCAGGAGCAGCTCCTGGCACTCGCATTTCTGTGGAAAGCTCCCTCTTAATTACCATGTCAGTGGGAGGGCTCGTACATCCTGTTTCTCCGAAAAATCAGGGTGTTGACTCGCTGGCAGATGAAAGCCCAAAGGCTGAACTGGTTCCTCCCCTGTGTTTCGCTGTGCAAGGACTGTGCCACTCCTGTGGCCACTGCCCGGAGCAGCCACAGGCAGCAGGGCCAGACCAGCACCACGTGCACTTTGGGTTACCTGAATACACCCAGCATGCTGCATTTCCCAGCATTCACGGTTTTTCCTTGCTCAGCCGTCAGGTTTCCAGGAGAGGAGACTCTCACCAGAGCAATACCAGCTCCTCAGCAGCACCAAGGCTTTGCAACAGAGAAGCCTGATGGGTGTTTTGCTCCCTTTGGAAAGACGTGGGACACAAGGAGTGCCATCATCACCAGTTACGGTCACCTCTCGAGGAGGCCAAAGATGGAGCAGCATCCACACCTCAACACCTCCACGTGACACTGCTTCCAGCTTCACTCAGAAAACTTCCATTTTTAGGCATACAGCAACTTTTTAAAGAGAAATAGAAACATCACCCTGAAAACATTAATCTAGACACAAGCTGTTTGAAGGGTTTAGTTTCTTGTAGGAAATAATTTCCATGGAAAATCTTGGAGGATCCTGTAGATGCCACGTGGAGCGTGTCAGGGTTATGGCATTGGGTTATTATTTTTATCACACTATTATTTTTATCCAGGCTGGTGTTAGGAAGGAATTCCCCAAATCCACTAAATGTCTTTAACCCGTGGAGGGAAAGATGATATTTCAGTCTTCCCCAGGAGACTGGAAAGAGCAGAGACTGGAAAGAGCAAAAAGAAACATTTTTCTCATCGGATTTTTATTTGAAATAGAAACTCAGCTGGTCCCTAATCCTAAAATTGTTTCCATACCTTTACACAGGAGGCTCATAATACCATTCCTACTAGGGCCTGCACTGCTTAAGACAAAGCCTGTCCTGTGAGTGTTTCCAGAGCTAGAACCAGGCAGGTAAATAAGAACCACTCAAGGCTAAAGCAGCACTTGGGATTTTTAAAACAACACGGAGGATTTAGGCAAAAAAATGTTCCATTCATTTCTAATTTAGAGGTCTTACTACTGGTGACATGTACTGGAAAGCTCATTTCCATCCTGGGTGATGTGCACCTTCATCCCACTGCCTGGGACAGTGCTGGGCAGGATGAACTTCTGCAAGGGGAAAGCACAACCCTGAACCCCACAGCTGGTTGTTCTGTCCCATGTCCCCACCAGCATCCACAAATATTCCCAACAACCCTCGTTCCTTGATTATTTGGCACTTTTGCTTCCTGCAGAGACTGGTGCCTCCCTGCCCTGCTTCCTGTCTGCAGCAGCTTTTGGGGGCATCTCCAGGAGTTTGACAGACCCAGGTCTGGCCTCCCCCAGGAGCCCCATGTCACTGCAGAGCATCTTTCTGGGTCACATTTGTTCGTCGTAACTTCAAGTCTTGAACAATTCTGAGCCAGGGTTTAGAATTAAATATTTAAACGCAGAAGTTGCACACGCACAGACAAGGTTTGTGCTTCGGGGACACATAAATAAAATCCATGTGGATTCAGTTTCCAGTTCAAATCCTGACCTGCTGTGACTTTGGGTAGTCGTGGCACCTCCCCTGCCCTCGCTCACCCTGCAAAGGGAAGAGACTTGGTTGTGCCCATTTACCATGGCAGACATGAGGTCACGTTTGTGCCACGTGCTGTGACCCCTCCGAAGGAAGGTGGAGGAAAGGGTTGAATTGCTCACGCACCAACTGCCTGCTTTGCTGCGTGGGATCAAAACAGAGAAGTGCAGGAATAAAAGATAAATTATTCCACCAGAAAATTACTTTACAATAAACATTTCTCTGTGTGAGAAGCTTGAAAGGAATTGGAAATTCAAGCCTCATACTTAATGCTTGAGTTTCAAAGCTCTCCAAGCTGTGCTAAATGACAGTAAGATGAGGTTACATTTATTTCTTGCAGCAGACTGTCCTCCAGGGCCAAACTGGTTATTTTATCTCGTGTGTCAATAGGAAACATTCCAAAACAGGAGGTGTTCTCCAGGGCACCATGCAGGGATCAGCACCAAACATGAGCTTCATTGTCTCACCCAGCATATATTTCAGTCCCGGGTAGTTTAAAAAGTTCACTAAATCAGGAATGGAAAGTCTGCTCCTTCCTCTCGGAAGGGGGTCGCACAAAAGTTGTTTGGCCGTGCTGCAGTGAACCTGATGTCAGATCAGCAGAAATAGCCACCTCTGCAGTGGGTGAGTCAAGGCCTGAGCAGCAGAGTGACAGATTTGCATTCTCTCTGAGCACACCTCCGTGCAGACATTTCTTCACAGGTCGTGCTGGAAGCCAAGACACCCCACAGAGCATCTCGAGCCCCTTCGATGGGAAAGGCTGAAGTGAAGGACCCAGGATGAGATCCACCTTGGATCACGCTGCAGCTATGCAGGAGCAAGACTTGGACATGCACAGGGGACCTGTGCTCACCTGCTCCTTGCTGTCTCCCTTCCTTCCCCTTTCCTCCACCCACCACGCTGGGAAGGAGTGGAGACTGGGAAGGCAGAGCAGGATTTTCGCAACCAAGCCTTCCCCCCTCCACACAAGGGTTGGCATGAGTACCTCTTCCCTCAAGGAAAAGGAGGGCTCATTCACAAATCTCTGCCTAAAAACAGCCAGGAATCTGAACCTCCCTTTCCCCCTCTAAGCAAGATCTTGTCTGTGAGATCTGTCCTCCCCCGCCCCGTTCACCACACCCTGGGATCAGAAACAGTCCCCGAGAAAAGCACTGGTGGCAGGTTTGGGGAGCTGCCCTCTTACCTCTGTCTAACTGGGCTGGATTCTCATCCCAGTTACACCAGTTGGCACTGCAGAAGCACTTCTTGCTTGCAATGTTGTTTGTAAGGGAAATGATTTAGCCATTATAGAGTAGCAAAGCCAGAAGAAAGACCAAGTGTAGATCTCAGTAAAGCACAGGACGGACCAACTAACTTGGTCTTACTGGCCAGACATCCTTCAGTCAGCAGAACTGTAGCTTTAAGCAGCAGTAAGCATTCTCACTGGAGCTGATGTCAGCTGATGTAAATTGGAACTGAAAACGAGATCAGAATTGGTAACTGATACTATAGGTAAATGGTAAATATTAGACCAAGCAAGTAGTTCAACCTTGCAGCTACACCCGTAAGTGATGGGTCATCTTTGTATTATAAAAGGTTTCTGTAAATTCCAAAGGCTTCTTTGGGTGAATTCAGAGATCCTAAAGTATAGCAAATGGACTTGTCTTCTAATCTTCATCATTTTTGATTGATAACAATCCTGTTTTCCTTTCTTTTCCCACACAGCTTTTCTATTTCAATACATTTCATAGAAGGAAGTT